GTTAACTGCTGTGCACAGAATTCCTCTTCTACACGCTGGCCAATTTTCTGTAAAGCCAGGGATTCTTTAATATACAGAATAATTGCCCCTGATTTGAATCCATGAACATCGTTTTGGTATCTAGATTGAGGCTCAACATCCCTCAATTATATTTGCAATATTATTTCCAAGTAAAAACAATAAGTGTCTGTTCCCTTTTTCAAATGTTACATTTCTTACATATTTGGAAAAGAGGCTTTTTTGAGAAGTGTCTGCCTTGCAGGATGTTGTAACTCCAAGGTGAAATTCAGAGGAAGAGCTGCTTCTATTTATATGCTGGTACCTGTTCCCATGTTCAGGACAGCCTGCCATGGTGTTGACCCTCAGTTACTGTTCTCTGGTGAGGCTGGTAGAGAAGAGCTTTCCACTGATTCCAGACTCCACTGTAGCTATGGCTCCACCTTTCTGGACTGACACATCAGACCCCATGTAGCCTTTAAGAATCCTACCCTCGCCAGATTGGTTTCGTGGATAGAGTGTCTACCTGTGGACTGAAGGGTCTCAGGTTCAATTCCGGTCAAGGGTATGTGCTGGGATTACAGGCTCAGTCCCCATTAGGGGGTGTTCAGTAGGCTGCCAATCAATGATTCTCTCTCATCATTGGTGTTTCCATCTCTCTCTCTCTCCCTTCCTCTCTGAAATCAATAAAGATGTACTTTAAAAAAAGAATTCATTGAAATCTTTAGCTGATTTCTTCTTCCCCCCATCTGTGGAAAGCACGCTTCCTCCCTCCTGTGCTCTGCAGAAGTGAGGGAGTGCTTGTGATCCTTCTCCCCTGAGGGACGAGTCCCTGGGGGACTGCATTGCGCTGATTGCTTTGCAGCAGTAGCCTCAGTTCCTGAGGGCTTTGGGAAGACTTAAGCTCACTAAACCAGCGAGCTTCTCTGGCTGGCGAGGGCAGGAGAGGCACTCTGCTCTCTTTACATCCGAAGGAGAAGTCATCTGGTCCCTTATAAAGCCTCCTGCAGGGGCCTTTCCTGCCCCGTTGTGCACACTGCGGCCAGAGGTGACTTGTCCAGTCCATGGCAAAACTGGGTTAGGACCCAACCTACGACTTCTCTCTACTGACTTGCAGTCACCTCATTTTTCCTTTTTTATTTAAATTAAATCTCAGGGTTATCGCTCCCCTGTCTATGACTCTTTACTGCTCTCCTTGGCACCACTGGCTTTTCTTCCCAGGAAAGAATGAAAAAAAGGACACCAAGCATCCTAGATCTCTGATGGGAAGCCCATGGCATACCAGCCTACAGAGAGTATTTTCCATCTGTACATTAACAGAATAAAAAATCATTACTGACATTGAAAACAATGAGTTATGGAAGAACCAGCAGGTCCCTTGGTGTAGAGAATGATTATTTTCAGACTTAGCCTCTTATGTGTGTGTGTTTTTAAGCCTCGTTACAGTAACTTACTTTTTTAAAATACATTTTTATTGATTTTAGAGGGAAAGGAAGAGAGATGGAGAGGTGGAAACATCGATGAAAGAGAGAAACATTGATCGGCTGCCTCCTGCACGCCCTCCACTGGGGATTGAGCCCGCAACCTGGGCTTGTGCCTTGACCAGGAATCAAACCGTGACCTCTTGGCTCATGGGCCGATGTTCACTGAGTTGCACTGGCTGGGCTAACCTTATATGTTTTTGTTCTTAAAGCTTATTGGGGTTTTTCCTTCTAAACTAATAATAACTCTATTTAAGGTGATGGGGTCATCTAAAGTAAATTTTGGATTCTGCTGAAGTTTGATGTCACTCTAAAGATTTTTTCTACATTAATCACATTTTTTATTACTCTAATAAAATTTGCTTTCTAAATCCAATATTTTCTACATTCTTAATAGGAACTAAGACTTACAATTAGGAGGGAATTTTTAAAATCTCATAAGCACTTGTTTTTGCCCATAAAAACCTGCAACTCTGGCTGAGTGGCTTACCAAAGCTCACATAGCTCGTGATTGGCAGAGCTGGGACTAGAACTGGGGTCTTGTGTCTCAGATTGGGACGAGGGGAGACACTCAGGAGACTCTCAAAATTTTTTTAAAGATACATCCTCCTAGAGAATTATTTTATTCAGATATTTTTTATAGAGTGAAAGTACATTTCTTTTTATAATGGAACTACTAATATATTTGGAAGGAGAAAGGAAATAACTAAGTCTTTTTTTTAACATATCAAGATGTTATTGTTATGTAATAAAACAAAATATGAAGCTTAGAACTGGATCACTTGACTCTTTCTCTCCTTCTCTCTTCCCAGTTCAAAATGCTTGCATCTCTTAATTGCCAGCATTCTCTTCGATCTGCAGTTTGGGCTCAACGCATTCAAGCCTCAGCACAATCTTCTTTGTAGTTTTAGCCTTTTATCGGAAAATCGGCTTAATCTGCCCACCATGGCCACTCTGCCTCCCGTCATAACGCCGCTCCCCCTGCACACACAGAGGATCCTTGCCTTTCTTATATGTGTTACTCTGTGGGGTCGATGCTTGCCACACTTCTTAGGGAATGTTCGGCGGGTTTAGGAACGTTTGTTCACCATGTTTGCGAGCGCTACCAGCAGGGAAAGGCCACACTAATTCTTAAGGCAAAATGTTAAATTTTGGAACCCTCGGGGCTCAGGTGCAGGCCTACGCTCTTCTGCTTGTCGGAGGGGCCTGGGGAGGAGGGGGAAGCACTTCTGCACCCACCGCCTGCCCAGGGTGTGCGCCTGCTAAGGTGATACGGCTGCTGGGGGCCCTCAGCTTAGTTGGATTTCAATGAGAACATTCCTCTTTTGTGAGTTCTCTGGCTGTTTTCCAAGTATGGAAACACATGTAAAGTTAGCCAGTGACCCCTAGCAGCCACCATTATCTTGCCTTCCTGCCACCAGTAATGGTGTTTTAAATAACAGACTTCCCAGGGTTCTGGTTTAGGGCTGTGGGCCACATCCAAGCCCTGTCCACGGAAGGAAGAAAAAGAGCACATCGTTTTACGTTCCCTCCCAAGCACGACGGGGCCGTCCCTGCCTGCTGGTGCCTTCCTTCCCCCCAAATTGTTAAGGCTACACATGGTCTCGTCTGGTCACAGGTCTTACTCTTCAGCGGTGATTCTGCATGTCATAGGAAGCTAGCTCTTGCTATAAGAAGCTCGATATGCTGGGACAGATCCAGTTCGGGCTAGAAATAGCGTGGTTACAAAGCTTTCCAGTGTGTGTGCCAGTGAATTAACAACACGAAGATAACAAGGGTCTATCACCAAATGATTGGATCCGAAGGCCATTTGCACATAAACGTCAGAAAGAGGCCTGCCTGTGCGTCTCCTCCCCCGCTTCCCCTTTTGGGCAGCATCCATTAATTTTGCTGAAGGTTTTATTTTCTGCTAAAAATGCAGGAAACTTAGACAACTCTTTTGGAATCCCCCCAAAACTAATACAAACAAGATACATATGCTTCTCTTAAGGAAACTAAAAATAAATGATTTGAAACTATTTAACTGTATAAATTCCCTCTTAAAAGGGAAAAGGAAGTTTATATAATGAGGCAGCCATGAGTGCTGTTGACAGGGTAAGATACTCCCACAACTGCCAACTTGTCCCTTTGACATGAAATCACTACTTAGCACAGGGCTTGCTCGGTGTTCATTACCAACATGTACGAAAACCACAGAACCACGGAAAACAGGACCATTTTCTCAGGGTCCTGGTCTTTACATTTGAGATCATCTGCAGTGAAGAGAGTGTGTGTGTGTGTGTGTGTGTGTGTGTGTGTGTGTGTGTGTGTGTGTGTGTTTTGGGATGTTTGGGATTTGTTGTTGTTTTTTTGAGGACAAAGTCTGTTTGACCTGGGATCCATTCCTGGAATGGAAGCTGTGTGTTTGAAAAATACAATACCATGAATGAAAAAGGTGCAATATTCTGCACGTATATTGCTGCTCCACCAGTTAGCCATCACAAAGCTAGTTTTCTGACAAAGCTAGTTTTAACAGTACAGAGGAAACAGTTTTTTAAAACATGTGTTTTTATAAAACTTTGTTATTCCATAAATGTAAGTCAATTTTCCTATGCATTATCCTCTGATGGACCTGTTTTGGCTTTTTTTTAAAGGACCAGTTTTGTAAATTAATAGAAATGGAATTTGGAGGCTTATAGTTAAAGCTAAGAAATGTGATTTCTAAGTTATTTGCAGTTATAATAATTGAGTTTATTAACTTTCTAAAGTTATCTTTTTGTTCTTTTTTGTAATATGTCCAAAATTAAAATGACTTTTACCCTTTAAAATACTTTGATGTATCTGTTTTTATATTTTAAAAGCTCTCATGTGATACTTACCATGTGTTACACACTGTTTTAAGGACTTTACAAATGCTACCTCACTTAATCTTTATGGAAAATAATCCAATAGCAACCTTCTTTAAATATCATCTTGAGCCCTAGTGAGTTTGGCTCAGTGGATAGAGCATTGACACGCAGACTAAAGGACCTCAACCTTGATTCTGTTCGAGGGCATGTTCAGGGGCATGTACCTCCGTTGCCGGCTCAATCCCTGTGTGCAGGAGGCAGTGAAAGGTGCCAGGTGGGAGGCAACACACTGGCACCAGGTTCGCTGCTAGAAATTGAGAACTGGGATAGAGCTTTTATTGAAAAGAACCTGACAAAGGTTCTCATAATGGCTCTTTTTTAAAAATATATATTTTATTGATTTTTTTACAGAGAGGAAGGGAGAGGGATAGAGAGTGAGAAACCTCAACGAAAGAGAAACATCTATTAGCTGCCTCCTGCACAACCCCTACTGAGGATGTGCCCGCAACCAGGATGCATGCCCTTGACCGGAATCGAACCTGGCACCTTTCATTCCGCAAGCCAATGCTATATCCACTGAGCCAAACCTGTCAGGGCTAGTAATGGCTCTTAAGTTTTATGGTTCTCATTCCAATTAATTCTGTGTTAAGGAGTAAAACACTGACTCTGTGTGGGTATTGTCTGTCTTTATCAGGCACAAGACCTAAATGTCATCGAGGAAGTGATCCGAATGATGTTAGAGATCATCAATTCCTGCCTGACAACGTCTCTTCACCACAACCCAAACTTGGTGTATGCACTGCTTTACAAACGAGATCTCTTTGAGCAATTCCGAACTCATCCTTCTTTTCAGGATATAATGCAAAATATTGATCTGGTAAGTGTAAATGGAGGTATTTATCATGGGTTCTTTTTTAAATATTAAAGTAGAGGAGTTTAACAAACCTTGATAAAAACTATAATATAGTCTCTTTAATATTAACTATATTTGCCCTCTATTCTGCTATAACAATTGTTGCATTCCGTGTGTGTATATCTTATACGTACAGACATATATACACACAAACTTATATTACCTGACATTTAGATCATTAACATTTTTATGTAATATCAATCCTTTGAAAATCTCACATCTTAATATCTATATTATGAATATCCTAAAATAGATTCAACCATTATCCCAGATAAGAAAACTTAGGTGCTGAGAGAGGGTTTCCAGGTGATTTTAACATAAATCCAAGCCTAAGAATCTTTGTCTTAGATAATGATTACATATTTGCGTTGTAAGTCATTTGCATATACATTATCTCGTTTGAATCTTCAACAATCCCATTGAAGCAAAGCAGCGCATGAAAGGAAAAAGGCTGGCTCAAAGTCACTTAGCTAATAAGTCACTCAGACAGACCCTTCAGTCCATTATAAACTCTATGCTTTCAACATTCACTAGGATAAACCTAAGTAAGATTCCAAATGAGCAAGCTTTCCAACAACTTTTTGTTGAACACTGCCATCCAAAATAGTGCTAGGCACACTATTCTGAAATTTATTCAGAAACATTTTAAACTCTTTTTACATGTTTTGAAAAAAATGCCATAGCAGAGATATAAATAACATCTCTACTTTTTGCTTCTTTCAGCACTTTACCTTCTCTCCCCTAAATGCCCCTGAAATTTTGGCTTAAGCAGGTCTTTACTATTTCTTTTTTCACGAAGTTAACCTTGAAAAAGTATTGGGAGAGGACACTATGAATCTGCTGTTATTTTTAGCTGACAGGGAGTTGAGAGTTGATATTTTTCATTAAGACATTCAGCAATGTTAAATATCTGAGACAGGAGTGACTAACCTTGGAGCGCTTTTAACTTCTGCAGAAGGAGTTAGACAAGTGTTTTTCAAGTGGCCAAATTTCTATTAGCCAGTGGGACGCATGCCTCCTATCTAACTCATAAGATTAAATGAGCTGGCTGAATAGGCAGCAGGACAAAATAGGGTTACCACACAATCAAGAGAAGAAATTTCATGAGAACAGCCGAAACCGGTTTGGCTCAGTGGATAGGCCTGCAGACTGAAAGAACCCGGGTTCTATTCCAATCAAGGGCATGTACCCTGGTTGCGGGCATGCCTCCAGTGGGGGGTGTGCAGGAGGCGGCTGATCGATGTCTCTCTCTCATTGATGTTTCTAACTCTATCCCTCTCCCTTCCTCTCTGTAAAAAATCAATAAAAATATTTTTAAAAATAAAAAATAAGTAGAGAACAGAGGTGGTGAACAATAACGGATGTGTAGTATGATAAAGGCAAGAACTATTTTTATCTCTGCTCACTGTAAAAATTCAAGTTAGATTTTGTGTATTTCCAGACCCAACCCTCCTTACTGAACTCCAAACTAGTTCATTCAGTTGCCAATATGGCGGCCCCACAAATGGCAAACAAGGTTAAATCAAGTGTGATGTTCTTGAATAACAAGGGATCGACAATGTCTTGATTTGTTATCACTGTGGTGCTAAAATGATTTGCTAAGATATGATAGTCTTTTAGTGTTTTGTGACAGATATTGAGGGACAGTGTTATGTCCAGAATGCCGCTGCTTAGTTCAGGCTGTGCTGTGACATGAGCAGAAGTAATTATAGCTTGCTGTTAATTATCCCTGCTGATCATGATATAAGTGTGGTGGGAAAATTAAATATATAAAGATTGCCCAGAACATCATTTTAGCCATTATCTTCACATTCCTTTCTTATTTTGCTTTTTTTTCTTCTTCTTAGTTACTATGAAGCCTCAGTATTAACAGGCTTTAAGCTTTAGCTTTCTTTCTCTACCTTCTAATAGGTGCTGCTCTCCAACTTAGATATAAACGCAAGGTGAGGCAGCACAAGAAAGCAGATTCAGGAGCCTGCTTAACCACAGAATGGCCAACGAGCCCTGAACACTCAGGCTGACTGTGACTCAGACATCAAACTCTATGGAGAGGACGCAGTTAGGAGGGCTAGTGAGAAAAGCCAGGTCACAGTAAGACGTGCAGTTATGATAGTTTGGCGACCATGTGAGAAAAGCACTATGTGAAAAGACCAGCTGAAAATACGTCTCCTACGTCTACTTGTTTAAAAAATCCCATTCTGCATTCCAGGTGATCACCTTCTTCAGCACCAGGTTGCTACAGGCTGGCGCTGAGCTCTCGGTGGAACGTGTCCTGGAAATCATCAAGCAAGGAATTGTTGCTCTGCCCAAAGACAGGCTGAAGGTAGGACGGGCAAATGAAACACACGCTCTCACACTCAGTGTCTGAGCAGCCTCTGCTCAGAATCAGACCACTCACCCAGTACTTGCACTAGAAGAGGCTCCCTAACTATCGCCGCTCTCCTGTACACTGGTGTACGCTCTCCTGTACACTGATGCACAGACTGTGATGAAGAAGGGTTCTCACAGTTTTCCCAAAGTAGCAAAAGGAGGACTGATACATTCATCCCATTGCATATAGTGTGAGTAATTTACATAAAGGAGCACCTTATTTTTTTTTTTAACCCAGTGAAATAAATTCATTCTTCTAAATATCATCAAGGGTTGATGGGAAGGTGAAGGTGGTGATGATGACATTTGCCGCAATGGCCTGGTGTTTACTTGCCTGGTGTTTACTCAGTGCGGATGGGTTTGTAAGTGTCTTACATAGATTAACTTATTCGATCCTCACAACAACCCTTTAAGGAAGTGGGGGTCGGTACCATCATTCTCATTTTTCAGCTGAGCAGACTAATGCACTGAGAAGGTAAGTAACATACCCAAGTCATAAAACTAGAAAATTATGAAACTGATTCATTTCCAGTCAATCTGGCTCCAGAGTCCCTGCTCATAATCGCCACACTGTTTTCTCTGTGCTCCGGTCTATCTGTGGTAAGAGGAGCCTTTTATGAAAGACGTAGGGAACGTTGTGTTTTAAGAAGACATCTACATTGTGTGTGAGCTGTGTTTCTGAAGAGATTCAGGATGAAAATGCATATTTCAAGACTAATTTTCAAAAATAAAATAAAAAGACTAATTTTCTCAGGAAAAAGGTAAAGGGCATAGTTTGAAGGGACGCACTGTGGTGCCATTTTTGCTGATGAACAGAAATAGCCGCTGTTGCTCAGCACTGTGCGCACACACGCTGCTGTTTCTGTACACTGGAGTTCCAGTGAGGCTACGAGACTAATGTGCTGTTGTCTCACACGCTCTGTTATTGTAACTGAAACTATTTTCACCTCCTACAACAGTCTCTCTCAAGCCCTCGTAAGCAGTGGTTTAGTGATGGTGCAGAAAACGCAGCCCCCAACAGTGACTTGGAAGAGCTGGTTGTGATAAAACACTATGGAGAGGCCAAGCATCCACTCTGATGCACTGTGCTGTTAGCTTAAGACTGAAAACGTAAAACACTTAGAAGGTAATGTAGGAAAAAATTAAAATATAGTAAAGGGGAAAATGGTTCTTACAGACTAGTTAAAGAATTGGTCTGCAAGTGTTGGAAGAGTTGTTTTCGGAAGTGGGTTTGTACTTGATCTGTGTGGGTCTCAAAGACAACTTTCAGATATTGGTTGGCCCAGTCTGTCATGGTTAGAAGTCTGACTCTGCTTTGCTAAACAGTGTGCAGCTCAACAAACTTTGCGTATACATGCCATTAATGTGTGGGAGCTGTCTGTACTGGACAATTCAGAGCAAATTTTCGGATGCCACACCTTGAGACAATCTGGAAAACTTCCAAAGAATCACCAAAATTGTGAAGGAACACAGGAAGTGGTTAGAGGAACTCATATTGTTGTTATTAGCTTTAAGAAGACAAGACTCAAGCAGAAGAGGCTTGTGTTCAAGTATTGGAACAGTTGTTTATGAAAGCAGCTTTGAGAAAGAAAAAAAATGAAAGCAGCTTTGGACTTGTTCCTTCTGGTCTCAGGAATAGGACCAGTGGGTAGAAGCTACATACAGGAACTTGCATTTCGGGTCCATAAAAGGAAGAACTTTCTAGCAGATGGAATTATTTAGAGGTGGAAGAGGCAGCTTTTGGGAAGTGATGTATTCATTCTCACTGCATGGAGATGTTAGGGGAATGGGCTAATGGCCACTGGGCAGGGATGCTCTTAACTATCGGTACTAGCTGGCTAGGATGGTGAATGGAGTAAGATTCCAGGGCCGAGTTCAGGTGCAGTAGAAAGAGTGTTGAGGTACGTTGGCCACAAGAGCAAAAAGTAAGGAGCACGTGTGTGATTACTTATCATTCTGATTGTAAAGACTCAAATATTGGTTGGGAAATCTAACTATGTGACTTTTAAGAACCTTTCCATGTCTAAGAGTGTAATTCTGTTTGTACATATACAAAATTATTGTTCTCTACAAAGCACAAAACTACATAAATTTTCGTAGCAGTTTTCTCTCTCAGGAGATGAAAGAAACGATATAAGGAAAAATTATTAATCTGAGGGCATTTTTTTAATGTTTAATTTTAATTATAGTTGATGGGGATATCTTTTATGAGGAAGAGTTCATTTATGATAAAGGGGTCACCTTTCAGATCATAATAGCAGGCAGCATAGTAAGATATGAACATAAAGAAGAAACATAAAATGATAAAAGTTGGGATATGGCGCATAAGAAAAATATGATTCAGGAGCTGGTTCACCTGTTGTCACCTGTGAATCACCATCACCCTCTTCTCCAGTCTCTTCTGCATTACAGAGAGAACCAGGATGCATTTCCCAGAATCCTCCTTGCTGTGTAGTTCTGAGAGTCTGCCAGAGAAAGTCACGTGGGAGAGATTTGGAAGGTTGATGAGAAGAGGCCATTTTTCTCCAGAGGCAGATCCTGCTGTAGCCTGACTCAGTGCTGTAGGTGGCAAAGGTCTCTGATGGCCTCCAGAGGTGTTGAGGTTTTCAGCAACTTGCAGTGAGCTCTTGAGAGCCATTCTCCAATGCTGTTGACTTTGTTCCGTTGCAGCTTCCCTGATCTTTGCCTACCTATTTTTTTCCTGTAGTTGCATAAACCTCTATTTTCCATGAAAATTCTTTATATTTTAATTATAGAGAGTACTGTATTTTTCTGTGTATAAGATGCTATTTTTTTTTTCTCTAAAATCGTTAGACTGAAAATCAAGGGGTATCATATATGGAAGTCAGCCAAGGAGGGCTCCCCACAGGTATGTAGCTGCCCATGCCTTGTCAAACAGGCTTCCTCCAATCACAAGCCTTATTGTTACTGACGTCAGCTGATGCTGTAATAGGAGGTGGAGAATGCCAGATGCAACAGGGACAGGAGCTTTCTGAACCCATAAAGATGCAAAAAAATAAAAAGGTAAATACCAGTAAGGGATCGTCTTACTCTGCAAAATCCAAACTGAATGTAATCAGCTGTGCAAAAGAGCATGGAAATAGAGCTGCAGAGAGACAATTTGGACCTCCTCCCACTGAGTGTATGATCAGACAGTGGAGAAAACAGGAAGAGCAACTTCTTGAGATGCAAAAAAGAAGACGATTTTAAGAGGAAAACCAGCAAAATGTTTAAACTATTGATTTCTTTCTTTTCTGGGTTGGAAAAGCAGTGGGTGTCTTATACATGGGGGCATTTTATATACGGAAAAATACAGTAGCTTCTGTTTTCCCTACCAAATCTGTCAGGGAAATTAAACCCCTCATTTCAAACAGAAAGAAATTGTTGAAAGGACGGGGAAGCCAAAGCTCAGGGAAAGCCACTGTGGCTCTCAGGAAATCAGATGTGGCAGGAGTGCCATCAGTGGTGATTTGGCCTGCCCGCACATCCACATGGGGCTGCAGGAAGATGGCTGGAAGCCAGGGCAAGACTTTACATCTGCTGAAGCCTGTTGGCTTGCCCACCACAGAGCACAATCACTCTGTTTCTCTCCTACCTTCCAACTACTCCCAGGTTCCTCGCATTGCCACAGTCTAACCCAAGCCTTACTGGAGAGAGTCTAGGACAGTGGTCGGCAAACCACGGCTCTTTGGCCTCTCGAGTGTGGCTCTTCCACAAAATACCACGGCCTGGGCGAGTCTATTTTGAAGAAATGGCGTTAGAAGAAGTTTAAGTTAAGAAAATTTGGCTCTCCAAAGAAATTTCAATCATTGTACTGTTGCTATTTGGTTCTGTTGACTAATGAGTTTGCCGACACTGGTCTAGGAAATGTAGTTTTCAGACTTTCAGCCCCTGAATGCTTGAGTTGCAAACTATGCAGCATAGGATCAAAAGAAACTGATGGAGCAGTATGAAAAGTCAACTACTTTAAGGATTATATTGTAAAAGAGAAATGAAGCATTTCATTTTATACCATAGGACAGTGGGTAGAATACGGAACCAAGACAGATACTAATATTTCAACCTAAGGGAATGCTTTCTGACAAAGTGATTTAGCGGTTCATAGTGGTTTCATAAAATAGTCAAGTAGTCACGATAAAGTCTGAATGGTAAATTGCCCTATCTCGTTTGGCTCAATGGATAGAGTGTCGGCCTGCAGCCAGAAGGGTCCCAAGTTTGATTCCAGTCAAGGTCATGACTTGCCTGGGTTGCAGGCTCAATCCCCAGTAGCTGGTGTGCAGGAGGCAGCCAATCAATGATTCTCTCTCATCACTAATGTTCCCATCTCTCTCTCCTTCTCTCTTCCTTTCTCTGAAATCAATAGAAATATATATATATATATATATATATATATTTTTTTTTTTAAAAAAAAGAAGAGCACCAATAGTAAGGGGTCTCAATCCATAACATTGGGGGAAAATAGTTGAAAGAATCCTATCTAATAAAAGAGTAATATGCAAATTGACTGTACCTCTGCTATACCCACAAGCCACACCCACCAGCCAATCAGGAGCAAGTATGCAAATTAACCCAACCAAGATGGCTGCAGCCACAGAGCGAGCAGGAGGCTTGGGTTTCCCCAGTAATGGAAGAAGCCACGCTTTCTGCACACCCTGGCCGGCCTAGGCCTCCACTCAAAGCTACAAGGTTTCAATTATCGAAGATAAATTCCAACAAATATGGCTGCGGCCAAGGAGCAAGCATGAAGCTTGGCTCTGATCAAGGCTACAAAGTTTCAATTATCGAAGATAAATCCCAGATCCCAGGGCCTCTGCTTGGGTCACTGGGGGGTGTGGCCAGCCTGCAAACCACCACCGGCCCCTCACCCAGGCCGCCCCATGCCCCAAGAGAACCCCCCACCCTGATCCGGGACACGCTTCAGGGCAAACCAGCTGGCCCCAACCATGCATCAGG